AAACCCCCCCCCCCCCCCCCCCCCCCCCCCCTCCTTCTCAAGGCTTCACGGGGCTCCCGGCGGACTGGCACGTGGTGCTCAAGGCCTCGGGGATCACGAAGGAGGAGGTGGTGGAGCACCCACAGGCAGTCCTAGACGCTCTGGCCTTCCACATGGACGGGCCGCAGGCCAAGGCGCAGCGGCCGAAGATGCCTTCCAAGGAGGCCATTGCCAAGACCGTTACTGAGGTTAGTCAAGTCAGTCCACTAGCAAGTGGCTTTTGTGGTGACTCTTCCTATCTGATGCCTTTTTACGCCCTCTGATTGGTCAAGCGTTGGTTCTAGCGGTCGATTCCTCTCCAGTGCCTTCCCTCTGTTCCGCTTTCCGATAACGCGGCTGCGCCCAGTTCTCTCGGCCGTCAGGCCGTCCGTTGGTCGTGGGTGAGGGTTAGGGTTGAGTTGGGTCGGCCACGGTGTGTGACACATCCCCGACGTCCGGAGGGAATTACAGTTAAAATATCCCTTCAATATCCAATCGGACGTGAAGAGTCACTAAATAACAGGACGTGAGTAGACCTCAGTACTCGGTAGGACTGCGGCCTTCCTCTTGGCGTGCAAACTCGGCTGGCGCGACCGAAAGGTGCATGTCCAGCGTCGTCCAGAGTAGCTGGGGATGACAAGACACATCGTAGATGCCACCGTCAGTATGCATAGCTCAAATTTATTCGTTTTTGCGGGGCGTATGGGGTGGCATGCCACTTGGTCCCAATATCTGTGTTATCACCGTGACGCCCTGCTTACATCTACCTGCCTTGTCCCTCAGGCGATGCCGCTCAAGAAGGACGACCCGATGCAGTTCTACACGGACATGCGAAAGCTAGGCCAGGGCGCGAGCGGGACGGTGTTCGTGGGGACGGACGTGCGGACAGGGGAGGCGAGTAGATTTGCTTGACTTTCATCCGTCCGTGCGTTCACGTGATGCCGTATGGGTGTACTTCCCTCGACCCCCCTCCCCCCCCCCCTACTCCTTGCGGAGGGATTGTGTGTTTATCCGAAGTAAAGGCGTCCGCCGTCAACGCCATCTTCGCGTTGCTTTTTGGTTGTGGAGCAAGGAGTCTCCGTGGACGGGGAGGTCAGGGGAGCCCAGGATGTCCGCTCGTGGTATCGTATGCATACGTAGTCGCCACCATAGCCGTAGCGGTGGTCAAACACCTCCAACTGGATATCTCGTGTCTGTAACACAAGCTGTCTCTTTGGTAGAACTCCGTTGCGGCGCAACGTTTTTTTTAGGCACGCCGCATCAGCGAAGGGCTATCCGTTGAGAAACTTCTTTTCGTTCGTTTCAAGAGTTGTGACTTCGGCGTTTCCTCCTCTCTTCGCACAAAAGCCCAAACGCGAAGCATGTTGAAGTCGCCGCTCTAAAATGGCATCACGTATGTTTCATGTTGGTGTTGTCTTAACACGTGGCATGGTTTCGCCGCTATTGTTGGTCGTTTGGTGCACCCCCGCTCTCGCTGCAAGCAGAGGTGCGCGTTGAAGTTTTGTCCCGTGGCGGAAATGGACGATCTCAAGAATGAGATCGGCATGCAGTGCCTCAGCAAGCACCCCAACATCGTCACGCTGAGGGAAGCGTTTGTCACCAAGACGGAGGTAAGGGAGGTGGGGAGAGAGAAGACCAGTGTTGCGTGTGTTATGTGTACGGCGACTTGACACACTTTGTTGCCGTGTTTCCGGACCGTTTGCCCCGCTGCTGTCCCTGTTCCCGCTTGACTCGGTTGGGCCTTTTTTTTTTTTTTTTTGCTCCCTCCTTGGTATGCGCGTGATTGTAGGTGTGCCACAAACCTAAATAGTGCGTTCTGATTTCTAAAAAGGCGCGATCAAATGGACAATGGTTGATACGTAAGAGCAAGAGTGAATGGTACGTGTGACTGCTGTGGACCCGCCATCACCGACATAACGCCTCCGTGGAATGCATGATGCACTGAGCCAGCCCACCATTGCCATCGCCGCTGCTACCGATAAACCCGGCCGGTTGCCACACGCAAGATAGCGGTTGCTCGGTGTTGTCTCCCGTGATGTCATCGTCCGTGCTCACGCCTGCATGTCTGGCAGCGCGTTGGTTGCAACCAGAATTTTGTCGAGAAGTTCACAGGAAATTGGAAAAGTGTCGCCGACAAGAGAGCGCGTGGTTATTATTTTTCCCCTTCCGGGGCAGGTGGTGATCGCCATGGACTTCATGGAGGGAGGATCGCTGACGGACACGCTGGGCACCACCGTGGACTTCAAGGAGATGTACATCGCTTACGTCTGCAGGGAGATCTTGCTGGCCTTGGCCTTCATGCACCACCAGTTCCGCCTGCACAGGGATATCAAGAGCGACAACGTGCTGGTGAGACGAGACGCGTGGCGTTGGGATTCCTTGTTGTGACCGTTCCCCCTTTCCCCCGTGCTCTTGTCCTTTCCGTTCTCTTTCGCGAAAGGGTTGCAAAAAGCGGGTGTGTCCATGAGCTGGGGTATCATTATCTAGGGGGTTTCATTCTTCTATTACCAAGAGGCACCAAGAGTCCTACCCATGCAACTTGGTTTGGAAACACGAGCATTCCACCACGCTTGAGAGAATGGCGTGGTGTCTCTTCCTGAAGGTCTGTTTCTCACGTGTCCGCGATTTTTTTTTCGGGTCGTTTTCTCAGCTGTCACGTTGCTCTTGTCGTCACCACTGGCTTTGCCTTGACAGGTGAACTTGGAGGGGAAAGTGAAGCTGGCGGACTTCGGCTTTGCAGCTGCGCTGACCGCGGAGCAGGACAAGCGGGCGAGTGTTGTGGGAACGCCGTACTGGATGGCCCCGGAGATAATCAAGGGCTTGGAGTACGACGGGAAGGTGATAAGTGGTGTAGTGTCGCACTCAGTTGGGATGAGTTTTCAGACTGTGACACTTTTTATGTTGGATCTAGTGTGCATACGGCACACCCTATAGATTGTGCTTCATTGTGTTGGAGTCAGTATGGTCATACATAAACCCTATTCGCCTCTTTCTATATGAGGTTTGAAGTTGACCGCGGTGTGGCGTATGCGGCCGGTGCGTCCTCTGGCTTGACCGTGTTTTGTTGTGCAATGCAGTTCTATGTGTGTTGCTACCATAATGGTCTCTTCGCTCGCGTTTGAATTCCTAGGCATATGGTCCGGCGGCATGTTGGGCGTTTTCTTCACGGCTGGTGAAATCATTTTTTGTTGTTGTTTCTCTTGTCGGGGAAGTCGCTGTGCCTTGGCGGCCTATAGATGCCTCCCGTCGCGGTCAGATCCCTCCTCACGCTTACACCACCAATCGGTTCTAATTTCGCCGCTCCTTGCGATCTCTCGCTCGTTACCTATCCCACGGCGGTGCGTTTCGGCAGGTGGATGTATGGAGCATGGGCATCACCGCGCTGGAGATGGCCGAGGGGGAGCCGCCGCTGCTGCACGAGCCGCCGCTCCGCGCGCTGCTGCTCATCAGCATCAACCCGTCGCCACGCTTGAAGGACCCCAACAAGTGGTCGCGAGGGTTCATCCACTTCCTGGCGTCGTCTCTCGACGTAGAGGTTAGTCTGTTCTTTAGGTTGCACTTGCACCGTGCTTGCCTTATTGCGGGCGCTTGTCAACTACTGTACGCTTAGCCTATGCATACGTAGGCGTTTTTGTTTTTTTTCAAGTTTTGCTCCACGCCTGTACGTTTTAGGCGTAGATGACATCCACGCGGTCCATGTTTCCCGACTCTGACGTTGTTATCCGCGTAGTTTTTTTTTTTTCCCCTCCGCTTGCGGGCGGGAGCAGCTTCCCTTGAGAGTGCTGTTGTCGCTGCTTACCGTCCCAAACCTCTCTTTGCACTTTTCTCTTTTTTCTCATCGCACAACCCAAAACACACGCGCACCTTGGTTTCGACAAACACAGGTGGAGAAACGGTACACCGCGGACCAGCTTCTGCAGCACCCCTTCATCCAGACGGCATGCTCGGAAGCCGAGTTCTCGGCACACGTGCGGAAAATGCTGGCCAAGAAGAAGAAGTAAAAGAACCCCCGCCGAACAGCATCAGTGTATCATAGAGTACGGAGATTAGCTTGCCCCCCCACCCCCCCCCACCCCCATTTGAGGATGGATTTAACTGAACGAGAACCTTTGTAATGCCCCTAGGGTCTCCCAGCCCACCGTTTTGTCTCGCTATCGCGCTGCTTCGAATCGGCCTGCTGATTCGGTCACAACACAAACGTATCCGAGGGGTTCGAGGGAGGGCGGGCAAAGAATAACCGAGGGAGGAAGAGATGCTTGTATGCAGCAGCACCGCGCGGGCGGTGGGATATGTCTATTGATTGTCTGTCTGGTCCGTGTTTTCTTGGTCTCAAGGAAGGCGCACAAGTGTCGGTGTTGTTCGATTTGACGTTCGTTCGCAGCCGACTAGATCCGGAGACGAGCCTGTGGTGTTTTGTAGCAGAGTTCGGAGACACTTGGTACTTCCAGGTTTGGGCTGCTTGCTTGCATGCCTTCGATTGTTTTGTATATGTATGCCGAGGGTGCGCGATACATAGCTCAAGCTCGAGCGTTGACGCCTGTGTAAAGCCACAGGCATGGCATTTTTTTATTTGTTGGTGTATGCTACCGGGGACGAGGGAAGAGCAGTTTTGACCTGCGGTTGTTCTGGGTGGTGAGTGCAGAAGAAAAGTGGCGAAGAAGAAGAGGAAGAGTAGTCACCTTTTGCTTCGCATCATTGGTGTCAGATCCGCACCCGTATGTAAGGGTTTTGAGTGTTTGAAATTACAGGATTAGGTTTGTTGGCTTATTCACCAGCTCCGATCCCGCTCGCGGAGAAAATAAGAAGGGGGGGAGCGGGGAGCAGTTAGTTTCCGGTACGGTACCTACCTTGTTTAGGCGCAACCGTAGTGCCCGTGCTTTTTGCACCCGGGTCGGGGTGAAGTGTTTCTTCGTGTATTTACTCTTTCTCTACAAAAGTGAGGTGATGCGCAACTTACAGTAGTCGCTGGGACCTCAAGCCGAGCTAGCTGACTGGTGGCCGGCCGTGGGTGGATAAAAAAAGGAATGACCCCTCAACGTAAAGTCGGGAATAAACGATTGGTTGTGTTGTTTGGAATCTGATTTTTTGCCCGACGGTAACAAATATTTCTTGGCGCACCATGACCATCTCGTCCTGTTCATGTCATGTCTTCGGCATCGTACTTTGGTTAATTGCTGGCGGAACAACCGCTGCTGCTGTATATGATGACAAGGAACCGTTGAATGCAATGGCTCCTATTCACAAGCACGCCTACAGTACGTGCAGCAGCAACCAGATAACAACAGTCAAGACCGCACTGCTCCTTCCCCCCCCAAATCAGTTATAATCCTGCATTTAATTTATTTGAGCGAAGCGAGATTTCAAGTCTGGCCTGAGGTCTCGACGCAATATAGGCTCCATCCAACAAAATAGTTTGTACGTCTGTATAGGTTTTAGAGTACAGCAGTACATCACTTGGTAATAAAGGGGGGTCAGCAGACCGCACGTGCACAGCAGAAAACACATACAGTACAACAGCTATGTGCCCGAAATGTATACGGATCAAGATAGATGATATAAACAATGCTCCCAGATGTCTAGAAGTGCATGCAGCTTTTCTTTTCTGTGAAGAAACGAAAGAACGTAGATACAACCACAGAGGCGACTCTCGGTCGGCTAGAAAGATTAATTTACCGCGACCTCTATCGGCCGCAATTAAAAAAAATAATAATAATACCATGCGCTGCATGCGACCTCTGTCAGTTCATCTGTCTGTCTATCTGCCTCTTTCCGCCTGAAGACGCGCACATACCCCTACACCTTGCTACCTGCCACCCGACCCGCGCAGATCACAGCCTGCACAGGACAAATCACCACAGATAAGATATCTCCGGGGCGACGCGCATGAGCAGTGAGTATACCATACCTGCACTATCTGCAGTCCCCCAGCTCTCTTCACCCGGCGGAGCGGCCAGCTGGGTTGTCTCGCTGCTTGTTGACGACGCACGAACCTCTCTCTTGCACCACCCAGCCCCCTCCAAGATGGCTCGCATCTACATAGGTAACCTCCCCATGGACGTGACGGAGAAAGACATGGACGACGTCTTCTACAAGTTCGGCAGGATCGTCGACATCGACCTCAAGACTCCCGCCCGGCCACCGGCTTTCGGATTCATCACATTTCAAGACGCAAGGGACGCCGAAGAGGCCGTCAGGGCCAGGTAACTGCGACGCTTGCCCCTCTCTTCCCCCTATGGCGTCGCCCTGTGAGAGTCGACCAGAGTTCGCCTAGAACTGAGTGTGCACCTCTCCGTGTAAAGGGAACTCGAATCGGAGCGTTTTCAAGAGACGGTTTTATTTTGTACAGCGCCGTGTGTGGTGGGTGTGAGGGGTTGGTTGTGGATGGATTGAGAGAGAGAGAGGAAGAGAGAGAGAGCGTTTGAATTTTTTTTTGGTCTTCTTCCCGCGCAGCAGGTAGTGTGGAGTACGCCAGATGCGTGTTAGGTTGACACGTTCAGGATCCTTTCGTTAGGCGCCATTTGGCCCACCTCCATCTTATCAGTTGTTTTCGGTCGACCTCCACGGCCCCCTCGTTTTCCAAATCTAAGACGCCCTGTGTGCGCCTCATTTTGGACTTTCGACGTCTTTGTCGTTGTTTATAGTCGGAAGAGGCAGATGAGATGATGAGATACGAAGGAGGCGTTTCATCTCCCGTTCCGCGTCGACGACAGCAGCGGTTTGCTACTTCTGTTGCTTGGTTTTCCCCTTGCTAACCCTCTTGGCTGCCGTGTTGAACAAGGGAGGCACGATCTTTGTGCGTGAAAGCAAGTTCGGCTGCTGTGCGTTTGTGGATTTTTTTCACGATTTACCGTCTTTTTACATACAACCGACATCGTACCTAGATGTACAGCACCGTCCGATTAGCCTTGCCCTCGGCAGCACCGCCCTTATCTTGAAATAACCAGATCTCATATATATTTGCCTGCTACAAGATAAAACGTGATTCACTTCGTTTGTAGTTCTCCCGTTGGGTCCAAACCAGCCCTGTAAAGATGGATATTTTTTTGTCAAGACGTGTTTCACAGCATGCACTGCTGCTGTCTGATGATGCTGGGCTCACCGAGGAGGGGTTTCCTTCGGAAAATGCTAATACTCTGTACACATGCCAAACAGGAACAGCAGTTATGCTGGCTCTTCGTCGCTGTCTTATGCAGTGGGGGACGGCTGCTTTTGCCCACGAGACGATGCACTAGATGTGGGCCAGGCTGCTGTTTCTTCACGAAATGATGCATCATTCGTAGTGCTGGCCGCACGTCGGTGGGGAATAACCGAGGTGTAATTGTGTGGCAGCCTACAACAGCAGTAGTGGTAGTTTCTTTTGTGGCTCGATTATGTATCCTCGACCGATACATAGCTTGCTGTCGGCGCTGCTTGGTCGTCGGAGTGCATGCTACACCCAACAGCCGTTGCTGTAATATTAGTACTCTTATGGGTCCATCGATCAATTTCGGAGTTGGGCAGCGCCAAAACAAGTTGGTGCCGACTCGTGACCGACGTTGGCACACGCGCGGGCAACCACGTACTACAGTAGTTCTTGGAAAAGCTGACACCTAGTTCCTTCACGTGAAGGTGTGTGCATCTGCGTAGAGTAGAGCAGGACTGCTCCTGTGGACAAGCCGACTGCTGTCTCGCCGGGAAAAACTGGAGAGCCATGCTGCCTTCGAAAACACTTAACTTTGCGTGCGGACCCGTACCACAGATGTGAACAACAAGCCAGCAACCTGCTGTGCGGTCACCGATGCCGGCAGTCATCCCCCCCCCCCCCCGGGTTTTCCAGAACCACCAACAAAAACCCCGGCTCT